CCGGAAGCACTTTTTCATCAAAACAAGATGGCGGCGCCAGCACTTTTTTTCTTCTCTATCTTGGCAACTGAAGAAGCTTCTTGGGTGAGAAGCAAAATGTTTACAAGGAGAAAAACAAACAAGGAAGGAAGCCCAGTTGCCTTTTTCTCCTGGACTCCCACCAACAGCCAGCCGCTAACCGAAGGAGGACCTGCCCGTTGTCCAGGTGTTCCTCATCCAGGTTCTTCGGGAGTCACTGATGGTGTTTGTAAACTCAGTGGGAGAGAGAAGGGGTGCTATGGATTGTCCAAAACCTCAACCCCAGTTCCTAGTCAAAAGGATTCAGGATCAGACGGGTGGAAAGTTCCTTTGCCAGTTGAGACACCAAGCAAAGGTGGACAACCCTACGCCTGGCAGAACTATCTCACTGAGCGTAGCTAGATGAGACCAGTCACTAATGGAGCTAGTAACTCCATGTTTCTCTCAATCTTGTCAACTTTAAGGTGTAGGGACTTCAACTGGCTGGCTGGGGAATTCTGGGAGTGGAAGTCCACCCGTCTTAAAAGTTGCCACGGTTGAAGAAAAACATTGTGGTAGATGGACCAGCTTGTCAATGCTCCCAACAAGACCTGAGTGGTGGAAAGGAGAAACGGAATCTTCCAGAAGGAAACCCTTCCGTGCCTCTATGCCCAGAGGGGATCATCCCTGGTCTGGAAGCCCCCTTCGTGCTGGGAATAAGGGTGAGACAGATGGCAACTGTCAACCCCAAAGAGGTGGTTTGGGGATGCCCACACCTCTGTTTTCAACCCCTGGGCTTACTTCCACATGCTCTCACCAGCATAGATTGTGCCGTTGATTTCCACTGACATATTGATGCTGCCGAAGCCAGAAGGGGTCCAGTTTAATGCCGCTGCTGCTGCTGGATCTGATTTATCTTCTGAAGAGGAGAGAGAGAGAGAGAGACAGACAGACAGAGAAGGAGAGAGAGGGAGAGAGAGAGAGAGAGAGAGAGAAGGAGAGAGAGGGAGAGAGAGAGAGAGAGAGAGAAAG